ATTATTGGATAGTATATATATATATATATATATATATATATATATATATATATATATATATGTATATATATGTGTGTGTGTGTGTGGCTGTGTGTATATTCCTCATAAAAATAAGCTATAAAATGCAAAAAGGATTTTTCAAATCTAACATAATAATCTTGAAGTACCTTCAAGAGATTAGCACATTCACATAAACAAAACAATACCTTTTCAGCTTTAAAATCTCAGTACATGTAGATGTATAATAAGAATTATAAATTTAAAAATTAATAACATTAATCGTTTCCATTTTAAATACTATTTGTCAAATTGTCTGCAATTTATCAAAAAGTATTTAAAATTATTGAAGTAAAACTAATTATTTCAAACAAATATCTAATAAATTAAAGCCGATAAGTCATTTATATCAGTCATTGCAATACGTCAAAATATTACGATTCATATTAAAATTTAATTATAAAGCTAAAGAGATTGTTTATTTACACCACTATTATAAGAGGAAAGATTGTAGTTTTGTATGTTTGTAACGATTAAAATCAAAAACTACTGAACCAATTTAAATGAAATTTTATAAGAAGATAGTTTGAGACCCTAGGAAGGAAATATGATATTTTTTATTCCGGAAATCATCCCTTGGGGGTGAAAATGGGGATAAAAGTTTGTATGGGGAAACAACTTAGGGATGAACCCGAGCCAAGCAAGGGTGAGTCTCTAGTTTTATATATACTTGAACGCGTTTATTATGGAACTACTAGTTTTATTTGAAAAAATATTTTTGCACTTCAAAGCCTATTTATTGAGAAAGATTATAGGCTACCCAAGACCTCGCTAAAACCTTTAAATTTAATGCATCAACAAATTACAAGAGTGGTGCCATAACCGAAAGCTAGTCTATTTATATATTTAATGTCAAGACAAGCATTTTTTCACGGCGCATATGAACTATGAACTATAATTACGTTTTAATATATGTTATTCTAATGGATAAGCTATATTACTGTATAGTTTCATCAAAATCAGTGCGGTGTCAGTAGTTTAAACATTAAAACTTAATAAACGTACGTACATAATACACCTTTATACTCACGCATTTATATAGGTTTACATGTTAATACCAAATCAATCATTCTTATTACTAAGCAAATAAAAAGAGAAAAAAACGAGTAATTATGTAAAATATTGAACAAGATTATTGTAGCATGACAAAGTACCTAGATATAGTATATAGATAATATCTGTACAATTTATTCGTATTACACCATGCAGTTGTAGCTTGATTAGAATAAAATACTTCAGAACTAATTAAAGTCGCCAACAAGCGATGAACCAAAATTGAGGGACCCTCTTTTAATACGGTGTTGAGAATCATCTAAAAATATAATTCAATATTAATAATAAATATGTTGGAACATTAACACACAGCACCATCTAGTTCCATGATAAGATATGAAGCTTGTGTTATGGATACCAGATAGTTGATACACTACACATATATAACTTTAAATACATACAAATTATAAAAATATCCACCCATGACTGCAGTAAAATCATTCATGCTCATCACACAAATGAATACCCCCAGCGGAACTCGAACCCGTGAACGCTGGCACAGCAAGTACACTACAAACTAAGTATAACTTGTCGTCAAATCATTTCAAAGTACAATGAGATAAAGGAATTTTAAATAAAACGTTCTTTTCAGATTTTGTAACAGTTTCATTTGATGGTCATGGCCATAACAGAGACCATGTTTGTTATAAAGTATTCGAAACATTTCAAAAAATACCGGGACATATAATGTTCAAAATATAATTTGAAAATATATTTTGAAGTTAAAAAAAGTTTCAAATCTACAAATGCATGCAAGTATTATTTATATTAGTTTTAAGGTTGCGTTCATAATTGTAAAGTATATAGTGAGTAGTAAGGGGAAAAAATGTGATTTTACGTTTTTCCGTGAACTTTTTCCAATTTTTCTCTTCGTAAGAACCTTCCTCGGACTTAAAATTAGCCGAATTAGTCCAGCTGTTCTCGAATTTTGCGCTTAGCATTTAGTGATTCATTTTTATTTATAAGATAATCTAAAAAAAATTATAAAATATTTATACACAAATATATAAATATACATGACCTCACAATTACTTCATTTTTAAATCCTTTAAAAGAAAGCGTTGACATAATAAGGGTCAAACATCACGGAACCGTATTGAGTAACCATATATCATGTAACAACGCGTTATATATAAATATTTGTGGCACAAGTCAATGGCATCCTTTACCTAAAAAACATAAAGAAATTTCTCTTCATACGCTCCCGTGTCCGGTTTACATTCGTCGCTTTTCCTTTAAAGTAAACATAAAAACGTTGCTTTTCCTAAACTGGACTTTATTTCTTAAAAAATAGAGTACAAAAACGATAAAACTATAGTCACACATTGGTTTGTATAAAATGATATGAGTAGCTTAAGTATTTCAAGCTAATATAAACTATACTAGTATATATTATAAGAGTTATAACAGCCTGAAGTAATTCAACAAAGTAGCGACATGTAATAAAAATGCAGACACATGCTGTACAAAATGGAAACTGCTCTTTTGTAATTTATTGTCAAGCAATAATAAACTTTATTTACTGAAGAATAGGTATGGTGATAAAGATTTTCAATGGAAATATTAAATTTGTACGGATTTGTGAAGTAAAGAGGGGGACGATACTTAAAGAAGAGGCTCAAATCTCCTACAGCCCTCCGGCGACAACGGCGAAAGTGGAATGACTAATGTTTTCATAAGGTCAATTTTAAAGAGTACGTAATTTTGTTACTTCCCAAATGGAAAGTTAATAATTTTTTATGAAATTCAATGTATTTAAGATATAAATTTTATTCAAAACTTTGAATAAAACATATCGTAATATTATGCCGCTGATTTTAATAATATAATATTTTTAAGTTAAATATTTTGTAAAGCTCACACTTCATCTGATTGGTTTATATTTAAAAATTTTATATATAGATTGGATTTTTTAGAAGTTTAACTTCAGATTCTTTTCTTTTCTTTCGATTTATTCCATAGTAATATGATAACAGCTTTTAGAAAAAATCGTATCTGATACAGTTTTATTTATTTATATAAAATATTTTACTAATATACATCATCTTCAAATAATAAACTCTGCATAGTTAAGTTAAATATTAAAAAGTAATATACAATTTAATCAATATTTTTTAAATAAGTGAATAAAATTATTCGAATATATTTTTTTTATATAAAACCCACAAAAGGATGATTTAAACAGACACTATAAACTTAGTAATAGGGTACATCTAGGCCCGTTATATACGCAGCCCTAAGCCAAATATTTTGGGATATGTTGGGACATTAACACACAGCACCAACTAGTTCCATGGTAAGCTACAAGGCTTGTGTTATGGTTACAGATAGTTGATACACTTCACATATACAATTTTAAATATACATATTATGAATATAAACACCCATGGACTGGAGTACAAACATTCGTGCTCATCACACAAATGAATGCCCCCAGCGGGACTCGAACCCGCGAGCGCTGGAACTGCAAGTAGGGTCACTACAAACTGAGCTAAACTGAATATGTTATATAAAATAATTAGGTAGATACCATAAAAAACTGCTTGAGTGAAATAATGATACATTCAATATCTCATGAGAAACGATTACGTCAGTCAAATAAAACTTTTACTAAAGACAAACCGGACGTATAAGAAAAAATAATATATTGTCGACTTTCACTTTTTTGTGTTATTTAAAATTTAAAGGACTTAAATATTATAATAACAATGAGGTATAAAGAGCTTTAACTGTTAATATATAAGGATTATTTTTGTTAGGAGTATATGAAATTTTCGACAGGTTAGAAGATGAGAGGCAGGTTGTAAGACAAAGTAAAAATCAAAGGCCCTTCACGACGTGCCTAATACTTTGAAGAATGTGAAAACGATTTGTTTGTAGCTATAAAATTACTTCAAAATAGTAGCTTTTGTATTCATAGCATACAGGTTGTCATAATAAAAAAATAACTTCAATAACTTACACCTATATTTTTAATAATATATATTTTTAATTTCTTTAATTGATACAATAATTGCTGGTATCAATCAAATTAGATACACTTTTTTGCATTTCACAACTTATTTATATTATATAGGAAAATTCTAAGGCTACATTAACATATTAATATCCTAAGTGGAGCAAACATCTAAAAAATAAAATACCCGAGCGCTTCCGTGGCTAGATACTAGTACTAATATGGAAATAAGAAATTATTTAAGAGAAAAAATGTATCTTTATTTTTTAAATACCTACAGAAAACAAAAATATACTATAACTCACCCCCACTTCGCTCGGGTTCATCCCTATGTACGTTTTAACGGCTAGTATGGAATAGATAGACTATATATTATATATACCTACATGGGTACAAAATAAACAGTTCTGAACTTTTCGATTTTCCAGAGTTTTTTTTGGATTTTCCTTATTTTTTTTATTTTTAAACTATACCTGACATACCAAATCCCCCACAAAATAAAAAAAATAGTTATTCAAATCGGTCCAGTCGTTTTTGAGTTTTAGCGAGACTAACGAGATATTTTTTATATAAACCATAAATCAATGTTTCATATAAATAGTATGAGAACAATTTTTTAATGACATAAATTAACTTAGTAATCTTTTTCTATGAATAATAAATGAATTTGGGATATACCCAATAATGGGTTACATAAGCGCTTATAACATCTAATATGTAAATCGTACTCTCATGAGAATCTTGCAAATTATCCACTACGAATTTTCACCTTATTGTTAGACCATCATGGGAACCATCCGTGACGGGCCTCGAAAACAATGGCAAAGTTCACTCGCACATAACAAGAAAAGTCTATAAAACGAACTAAGTTTTGTTACAATAAAGTATACGTAACATTTGAATCGGTGAAAACAGTGGTGCTTGTAAAAAATAGATGGTAGAGCCCTTTGGATCATTTAAAATGAATCGATACCCATCAATAAAATTTAGCATATTAATAATATTAGCAATTGTTGTTGAAATTATTCCAATACAACTTCAAGAAGGCGAAGAGTATAAAGTGAACAGTATAGAAGGATCGCAGTTAAATGATTGTCTAAGTACTTCAGGACGATCGGAAATTGGTGTATGTTTTGGAAAAGAATTGCTGATCAAATTAAACGATTACGATGAAACTGATGCTTTTAGTTTGGCCACTGGAGTATCTTTTGTTAGGGATGAAAAAAATCCCCGGGATATTGGAAGCTTTCTGGATAAAGATCCTATGGATTTCCGGTAGAAAAATAACATTTTTTTTCATTTATATAATAAAAAAATAAAAATCTAACAACGATAGACGCGAAATATCCGTTTTTCAAAAAATATAAAACACATTGTCTTATAATATTTTCAATAAACCTTCATCAGAAATTCAAAGAAATATTAAAGCAAACTCGATAGTCTCTGTTTCAGGAGAATAATGTTTAATTTTTTTATTTATTTTTATTATCATATAAATATTTTAATAATTAAACTCAAATTTACCTTAGGTCCATAATAGAAGATGCAAGTGGCATAATATCTAAACGTTCTCTACATTGGGACCTAGGATCATTTCATCCTGGTTTAGTGATGAGGATTGGGCCTACTTTAGCTAATGGAGTATTAGAGTTCGTGATAGATCCAAGAAGCAAAGATAGAACATATCAACAGCCAGCAGAAGTGACTACAGGTAAATTTATATATATAATTTACTCAAGTTTCACAGAAGGAGCAGGTGCCCTTATTAAAAGGAACTTCATCCTTGAAACTTCATATTTTTATTTTTGCCCTAACTTTTATCTGCCCAACTCTCCTGACGCTGTAAGCTGCTAGCACTAGCTAACAGTATACTAAATTTGAAAAAAGTGTATATATTTTTTAAAAAAGCAATTTTGGTTTATGTTTTAAATTATGTGTAATAATTTTGGTTCTCATAAGATATAGGAAATTTTAAAATTTTATACTTTTATTTTATAAAGTAAATACATGTTACATAACGCGTAGGTATTCATCGTAAATACAAATTTTGATATTTACCCTCGAAATATTTATCTTTACTTCTGGTAGATTCCTGTAAGCAAACTTTCTTGACAATTTTAAACATCTAATATAGGCTGCAGATTACAATTACAATTTACATTACAGTTTTAAAATCCATTTATTTATTTTACAACAACGCCATCTAACTAATGATGTATAAACTAGAAGTCGGCATTGACACAAGTCAAGGCCGCCACAACATTGAACTTGATGTTGCGCGCCATCTCTTAGAGGACGTTTTAACTTTGATGTGTTATTCCAATATTAATTACTAGCAGCTCACCCTCGCTTCGCTCCGGTTCGTCGCTAGGAAAACAATAGCGAACCTATTCCACGGGAACCGTAAATTTTTCCGAGATTAAAAGTCTGTGTTTTTTTCTTTATGGCTTAGTCTATATGTTATTCCAGACTATAATCTATCTCTGTGCGAAATTTCATCCAGATTCGTTCAGCCGTTTTGGCGTGAAAGAGTAACAAACATCCATTAATCCATACAAATTTACTCATATACATATTATTTTATATTTTCTATAGTCTTTCAATTTCATTATGATGTTAGACACAATATTCAAAACTAGTCTAAAAACGCGTAGTAAATACTCAAATAATTTCGTTATATCCTGACTTATAAGGTTTTGTTAATAGAAATTCTTAAATACCTGTACATAAAATTTTGCTCTAGCTCTACATAAATTACATTTTTATTAAATTAACTAATATTAAATTTTGATAAAATGTAGACTTCTCCGTGCTAATCCGTACGTATAAATGTATTGGAAAAATTCAAGCGATTTTATATAACTTTTATATTAATATACAGATATCAAGTTCAATTATAATGAAAAAACAACAACAATATATGCTCTACTTATACCCTATTTAACTTCAAACTAATCAAAATATTCATTTTCAGGTCGATTATTAACAAGAAATTTACTTGTACCATTTCTCCTGGGTTTTAAATTTCATGTTTCCACTTTATTACCACTGTTACTTGGCCTTGTGTTACTGGCTAGCAAGAAAGCATTTTTGTTGGCAAAGTTAGCACTTTTCGCTGTAACTCTGTTCAGTGGCGGGTCATCTTGGGGTGGACAGGACTATAGCAGTTATGGAAATCCGAGCTTATCTTCTTACACAGCCCAAGATAATATAGGACACTATCAAGGTCATCATAGTTCTGGAGGTAATTTATTTTAAATTAGAAGACGAAAAAATGTGTAGAATTTATGGCATTAGCCTTCTATGTGTAGTGGATGTTACGGATTCGATTTTCGTTTTAAGTCAATATTATAAAGATACGTATATTGTTTGATTCTTTGGATTGAGCTGTTTGTCCAGCTAACGTAAAAAATAAGAAATTAGGCGAGGCTACTTAGTCTCACTCAGACGTGAATTTTAGGGTTTTTAGGGTTGTTTGCTCTGTCACAAAACGGTATAAATATATTTACTCCAACCCTAAACTAAACCTTCGCTATACTAGTCTAACTACATTTGATCAATTCTCTATTTTTTTAAATTATTATATAAAGAGACGTTGATTTTTTTATTACAAGTAAAAAATTAAGTTATGTAAATGTATAATACAAAAACAAATATTCACTCATACAGTAATTTGGTAACAATTTTTCTTATTTTTAGACATTTTCGGAATTATTTTGTCACGTTTTCAGGATATTATCGCGATAACAGACATCTTCAACATGGTGATTACTTTTATAAAGAAAAGTCAGTAGAGTCCACAGCGTCACCAATAACACCAGATGAACTGAGGGATAGATTAGAGAGATTTTTTGTAACAAAAAAGGATGTTAACAGAGATGATACAAAAATAAGAAATGCCAGGAACTTTGCATGGACCCCAATAAATGTATAATTTTTATTACAATACAAAAAAAAGATTTTTGAAAAATATTTGTTTCTCTAGTCAGTAAGTTAAAATTGATGGTACATTTTGTTTAATAATTATAAAAAATATTTCTGACTTAAACATCTTACACTAACCTACTTTTGGAAATGTTAATTCAACAGCTATTGATTAAATATACCAATATATTGTAAAAAATAATAAATCTAATAATTTTTTGTTATTTTTCATTTTATTATTAATCCATTAAAATTTAGCTTAGCATAATTAATTCTAAAAATAACAAGTGAAACAAAAATAACAAAATGAGGAGGGTAAGTAAATGTTTGTATTAAAGATAAAAATATTTATCGGTCTTGGTAAAATGAAATTTTTAGTTATAGTTTTCGACAAGTAGTGCCGAGAATATAACAGAATGTTCATCCTAATTTTACATTAACCCCAACTACTATATCCTTACCTATATAATGTGAGAAGATTTCTTTCATAAGGTAAAAAAAGCTTATATAACACTCTAAATCATCTTTTTGTGAGCGATGCCTTCGCAGCTAAAGTTCTTCTTAGGTATATCTACTTATCAAGAATTAATAAAAAATTTTGTTAAAAACGAATGGTTTGGTGGACGAACGGCTTTGTTAAAAAAAAATCCCATCGTTCTTGCCTTTGACTTCCTATCGATCATTTCTTCTTTTTTGATTTTGATCTTCATGTCGATACATGTGTTAGAAATAATCGATGCCAATGATTTATTGGTCTAGAAATAGTCAGAATAACCTGGAGTGTGCAGATGATGATAATACGCCCTTTGAGATGCTTTAAAATGCTCATGCACAGGTCATGGATCGGGCATCTGGTATCTATCGAGTTGCTATTTTTAACCGATTTTCAAAAAGGAGTGGGTTCTTTGTTCTAATGTATGTATGTATTTTTATGTACGTTGTACATGTTTACCTATTGTTATTTTGAATTATATTTTATTAAGGTACATTCCAAAGTGGTTCTTTAAAATTTCCTTTGACATAGAATATACCTTTTTGAGAAAATCAGAAAAGAACCTATTACCTACTTTATTACAAGTTTTTTTTTAAATTTATCATTATTCATATCATCAGATTATATAAATGTATATAGGTATCATTAGTTTAACCTAATAGTTTAAGAATTTCTTCTATCAGTAAAAAAATAAATTCAATATATACCTAATAGATAAATTGTACTTTTGAGTCGATTTAATCTTTTTAAATGTAATGTAGGGCATTTATATGTTTTCACGCTCCAAATGGCGTGAAGCATCCATTAACCTGATAAGTTCCATTGCAGTAATGCAATAAAATAAAATATGAATTTTACTTAAGTCTTACTAGGCATTGTGCTTTCTTCTTCTATCTTTTGTTATAGTTCTCGATTTACCTCTGTTTCTACATGGATTTTAACATACTACAAAAAAAATATTTTACGGATCAATTTCCCTTTTCTTTTGCATTCGTGGCTAATGCAACCTAGGTTACGTAATAGCTAAATATATTAATCAAAAGTAGTCAAATTGAAAAAATAAATAATTTAAATCTTTTTATATGGAAAACAATATTTTTCTAGTCAATATGCTTTATTGGTACCTACTATTTCTTCCAATTAATACAATTTTGATTCAAATTTATACATATGTTGTAAATACTTATCGAGAGATTGTTAAAATCGGATTGTGTCATCCTATGAAAGATAAAATCTAAAATTCAATATTTTAAGCAAATAGACAATTCCACTATCAAATAGCTTCAAGCTGCATACGCTATAATGAAAGAATGACTTAGTAATTTGCCACTCCTACCTCCACTTTCTACATAATTTATATACAATACTAGCGACTCTCCCTCACTTCACTCAGGGTCGTTCCTAGGGAAAAACAACAACATACCTAACCTACGGGAACCATACGTTTTACGGGATTTAAAGTAATCTATGTGCTATTTTCGACTATAATCTATCTCTGTGCCAAAAATCCAGATCCGTTCAACCGTTCACATTTATAATATTATAATGAGATAAATTGATGCATTTCTCTACATCGACTGTTTTAGCCAAAGATCTCTTCAGTTAAACTTCTATACTTACATATAATACTTTAGTTATTGAAATGAAATCCCAAACAATCTTATGATTGTGAACTCTAACTATTTTTCTATTCGTTCACCCGTCTGCTTATATCTTCTTACCTCCAGAAAGTCTAAAGTTTAGACTTTAAGTTTTAATTTAAGACTGAAGTTTATACTCTAAACAGATTTAACTGGATTTTCATTTTCCTGTGCAAATATAATCAAATAACAATTAATATTATAGGGGTTGTCCATTAATCACGTGAGGCTTGAAAGGGGGGGGAGGGGTTTGATAAAAATCACGAAAATAACACAAGGGGGAGGGGGGGGGTGTAGTAAGATATCTCGTGTATTTATTTTTTCGTCAAACACCTGCAAGACGCTTATCCAGTTGTTAGTGTTGAAGAATGTCTTGCTAATCCGTGGTTCGAGGACAATATACATTAAATATATTCATGTACTAGTACAATACATGTTTTTCCTATGATTACACTCTTCGTTTATTATCATTGTTATGGCAATAAAAAAAAACTTGCAACCTGGTGTAGACATTTTTATTATGGTCCTTAATTTCAGAATAAAATAAGATTATAGTTTATACCTGTATTTAAATTAAGATAATATTCAGAAAATTTTAAGATTCGTTGTAGGTACTAAAAATACACGTGATGTTGAGAAGGGGGAGGGGGGGTGGTCTTAAACCTCACTACGTATCACCAATGGGGGAGGAGGAATTAAAAAATGCTAAAAAAAGATCACGTGATTAATGGACACCCCCATAAATGTTAATGTTATAGGAAATATTATCTCGTGTGTTGACTTTTCAAGCGAATAAACCTATGAATAAAAGCTAGTAACAAAATAGAAACCGCGATAATGAAACTGAAACAAGAATTTAACGCCATCTAGATTAAAAATTGATAAAATATTTAATACATTTCCTTCATGGACAATTCGTATATTTTTTTTAATATTAAAGTTAAGCTTGCGTCCTGTGAGAACGTAAAACACGATCTATCTAATAACCAAGTTTCATCAAAAATTTCTTCTACGGGTACAGCGTAATTGAGCAACATACATCCAAACATCTTCACAAACTTTCACGTTTATACCTAATACTAGTAGGGTAGTTAGTAGATTGGATGTTTGGTTAAAATAAGCACTGAGACGACGAATAAGTAATAAATCCCACCTGTCCAGAAACCAATTAGACAAGTTTTCATTTGTTTAACAAGTTATTCTCTTGCACTATTTATACCTCATCTTGAACAATTTTCTAGACTTTCGTCGTTTTTTCATGGTCATTATCAGCTATGCGCTCATCGCGTGCAAATTCTACATGGTTTGCTTCATATTTTGCGTGCTCCAACTAATTCCAAGCTTTCTCAATATTTCTTACAGTATTGAATTGGGCTAAATAACAGAATGGATCTGCTCTGAATGATTTTTGAATATGGACGCACTTTTCTTTATACAGTTTTAATTATTTACCTATATCGTTTTTTTAACAATTCAATAAGTTTGATGTATGCTATAAGTTTTTGTAGATTTTTTTATAGTATCAAGCGTATGTATGGTAATAATATCAAAATATACCTCAGGATAACCAAAAACTTCAATTTTTTTTATAGTAATATAATAATTTTATATTAAAATTATTAAAATTATACTATATAAGTTAATCAAGAAATACCTTTATTATATTAATATCAATAACTATTTATTTTATTTCTAATTATTTATAAATTTCTGATAGAAAAACGTCTACTATGAGTCAATGAACTGTAATTACAACTATAGTCAAAGAATATATTAATAATAATATAGAAGAACTTTCTATCATTGTGATAATAAAACGCTTACAATACATATAATTCAATAAAATGTAATTAACATAAAAAATGTCTCTTTCATGAAAAAATAATCGTACTTGTTATATATTGCCCGTTTGCCCGTGGCTTTACCAGTGTAAATTAAAAATAATGATTTTTCATATTTTCCAATCCATTTTTACCCCATTAGGGGTAGTATTTAAAAAAATCTTTCTTAATGAGTACCTATTTCTTATGAGGTATCACTTGCCTCATACAAAGCTTGTACATCTTTCACGTCGTTCACCTAAGTGCTAAATGATCTTTGTAAGATCATTTTTTTTGATTATCATTGACATGAGGGCGTGGGTGTGAAATTAGGGTTTTTTTATTAAAAAAACCTTCTAATCTCTATTACATTACCTCATATTTTGACATATTTTTATTAAAATAAAAGCACGAAATATCCACAGCAAACATCTACCCCAACTTCTCTCGAAAGTGACGAAGAGCTTTGTAGCATTTATATTTAGGTTTTTGTATGACACTATAATCATTTTTTCTTATATTATTAAAAAAAATGCCAAAATCTATGAAGGTAACAGCCCTATATAAATGCCTTGTACTATCTATGGGACGTGATACTAAATACACTGTTATTATTCACCACTTCTCTCTCTCTCTCTCTCTCTCTCTCTCTCTCTCGATCTCTACGGTTCCTTACCTTACTAAAATGCGTATTTTGCTTTATCTTTATTTAATTGATAAGCGAAGTAATCGAAATAATTTTAACATAGATATAGTTTAAATAAGGACATCGATAGCCAATTTGGTAACAGTCTCGCTTGGAAAGCTTAGATGAAGGAAAATATCTAGAAAATGTGCATCTGTTAGAGAACTAGTAAGACGTGTGAAGCAAAGTATGTGAAACGTGCTGAACTATGACCTGCTTCTCCTCGTATCAACGAGAAGCTGACTTATGGTGGGATATTAAAATAATACTGAAATATTATTATTATTATATAATTTAGGGACCGGACATTGACTATTTTCTATCCTGATATATGTAGCGGCTTATTTATTTATAGTATCCATGGAATATATAAGATAGTGGGTTCATTTCCCACTTAAGGTATATCTTCACAAAATAAAAAAATATTACTAGAATTACTTAATTCTTTTTACACCATAAAAGCGAATATGTCAAAATAAATTCCTCTTAATCAAAATACCTTTATCTTTGCCTATAATACCTATAATCTATATCTCTGTACGCTGTATCAGATTGCCATAAATTGAGGTGAAAACATAATGATAACAAGAGTGCACATATTTTTGTGCACACACTTCTCATGGACTTGTCTCACTGAAATCATTCAAACGTAAAGCAAATTCTATTCTGCCATTACTTAGTTTATTTTGACCTAGTTATGTAAAAAAACAGCAATATGCGTAAAAGTACGAACAGAGTTATAAGCATTTTTCTGTCGATAGTTGCACTTGGGTTATGTTTTGGATTTCTGGTTATTTTAAAATTGAACAATATTTATATTAATTGTATTGTTTATTTTTTATTTAATTTTGCTTAATATTATTTTTATTTAATTCTGCTGGTACTTTTACGCACATGGCTGTTTTTTGCATAACTGGGTCCAATTTAGACTTAAACTTCTTAAGAAGTAGGAGATGAAGGCAATATTGAAATGTAATTATAATTTGAGACATAACTGTAATATATACTCTGATTATATTTATTCTATTTATTCTATTACATATATATCTTTTTTCTAAATTGAATATACTTTTACATTAATATATAAATTGGAGTAAAAAAAATCAAGTTGTATTGTTTATTTTTAAATAATTCATTTAAAACAATAAAAATCTACGGAAATCTCAAAATGACAAATATATACTAAGTTTACTGACCTCTTAAATTTATTGTAAAATAAAACAATTTACCGTTTAAAATTATTTATCAATCCATCTCCTTACTTTTCTATGCATATATCAGACTATTATATAATATTATTTTAAAGAAGTACATAAATATCTGTATATATTACATAGTCATACAATGCTATATTATGTAAAGCATTTGTTAAACAACATATACATAACATCTCATATAAAAGGTACTCGCGTAACCACCTTGTCATTTTGACAATACATATATAAATAAAATAGGACTCGGTACATAAATAAATTAATAATTAATAATAAATCTTATATCTAGCATTTCTCTATACTATGCTTTGAAAAAAAAGTTAAAACAATAAACACAACACTGTACTACACCATACATAAATAAAACTTAATACCTATTTTTACAAAATTGGACAAATGAAGTCATAGTAACAGAAAATGCACAGTACCCGTCGACTAGCCTAATTATCTAAAAAACACTATAGGATAAAATAAATAACTTAAATTTTAAACTTATTTCAATATTCACTAACAATTTGGTGCACTGATTACACAAAAGTATCCCATATATTATCATAACTGAACTTATTTACATAATATTAAATTTGCTATGTAGTTCATAAATATGAAGCGTCTAAGTACATTAGAATACAACCCTTAATACTAATTAATAGTTACAAATTATATGTGTCGTATGAATTACCATTAATTTAAATACTATTCTCCTACTCGCGTGTGCAGAAATTGGCTTCGGAGGTAATATATTTGGTGAAAATGCCGTGTCGTTGTTGTATTTTGTAAGGTCGTAAGTCTTCCAGATGTTCTTCTTTACTGCTGTTTGGCGTAAGCTCTGTATGCTCTATCTTGGGCTGCGGCTTCTTCTTCGACGCTTCTTCTATAATGACCACCTGGGCCAGTCGTGTCAAAGTCGTTTCCGTAGTGGGAAGATGAGTAAGTATGACTCTGTGAAACCTGAGGATGTTTGACGATCTCATATGTTGTCTTTTCATGAGCTTCTCCTCCAGCTACCAATTTCTTCAATCCAATTATCGCAGATAAGAGTAAAGCAATTTTACCAATCAATAAAGCTTTTCCAGCAATCAGGGCAATAGCCTGAAAAGCCATTGCCAAGAAACCTCCTTTAAGTGCAATGGCAGCCATAATTGGACCTATCATTTTCTTCAATTTGCCTCTTGCTTCGTCTAATGATCTACCAACATCCACTCCGACGCTAGTAGGTGATATTATGATTCTATGGTTTTGCATCAGCTTGGACGTTGCAATGTTTAAAAGTTTATCGACTTCGTCTGAACTCAATGAATTCAAATCCACTTCTGGTATCGAAGATGGGAATGCTCTTCCATGTTCTCCTGTCCGGGCTAAGGAAAATCCGTCAAAAATTGGAAGTTTTTCCATTCTAGCAGCTCTGTCGATTATTTTTGCTGCTTGGATCTTGAAACATTTGAGGATGTCCTGGGATTTGTGACAATCATCATACAGCCTTCTTAGGAGCTTTTTGCCTGCTCCGAAGGTGTCTGCGGAAGCTGACGCCAAAGCCACACTAAAGCACAGGACAATTATCCCGCGGGGAACCATTATGATAAAAAAACCGCGGTGTCCCGTGAACGACACTCGTGTCCACTCAATGCGCTTGCGCCTATTGAAATGTGTAGAAAACACATGAGCACTGGCATTTATCTATTTTCACCGGGAACTGCATTTATCTATAAATCTTTTAGAGCGTGCAATCGTTGCATCGTATTGTCGTGCACTGAGGCGTGTATGTACACGTGGACTAGCGGGTATGTGTGCATGTGATACCAATGTGATGGTCAGCGGTGTTCGCTCTCGTGAGGACAACGTGGTCAATGTCAAGGTAAAAATACTTTTAAAGCTTTTCTAAAAACGATCGGTTTCAAAAATATTTAGTGATATCTATGTATGTATGTATATAAACAGCTGTAATAATTAATCTTTTATATTATGAATTAGAAAAAACAAATCATAGTACTATTAAAACTATGAACGTTTGTGTGTGTGTGTGTCATATATGTTAAAATTGGAGTATTCAATCTTTCTTATTTTAGTAGACAACAAATACAAAAGAAAAATGGTATCCACATTGTAATATAAATGAGTATATCGAAATTGTTTACAATGACATGGTTTCGAACCCCATTAATACAAGTGGCTATACAATATACATACTAGATGCATATATTGATCTAGTTAAGTTAAACTGTGACATCAGATACATTTCGTACTAAAAGTTATCTTTACAGTAGCCATTTTATTAATTACCTCTCGCTATAGGTTTAACTGCAACATGTAACAGGATGCTTAATGATCTTAATTATGATATGATCGCGATTGACTTTAACAATATAATATGCGTAGATCCGTTAATTGAATAATGATTAATTTGTTACACTTTTCATCTTGTTGAGATAAAATATTATATCTCATGAAAATACAATTATCGTTATGTTATAACTAACGACTCACCCTTGCTTCGTTCGCGTTCGTCGTCACGTACGTTTTAAGTTTAAGTATGGAATAAATAGACTATATATTATATGATATATAGCCTATAGCCTTCCTCAATAAACGGGCTATCTAATGCAAAAATAATTTTTCAAATCGGATTAGTACTTCCTGAGATTAGCGCGTTCAAACAAATGAACTCTGCTTCATCATAATTTTAAATATAGATTTACAAAATATCTTATAGTTACTGAATAATTCAGCGAAAAAATATTTATATACATTAGATATTTTTTGACTGAATTCTTCTTTAAGAAGATTCTCTATATTGGAAGATTTTCATGACTTTTTTTCAATAAATATGTTATACTCTATACCTCAAGGTCCTATAAAAATTTAAAGTATAATATTTAATTATTAAATTTACCTTATTTTTTATATAGAGACTCGCTTCGCTCGGGTTCGTTAACGTTTAGTATAGATTTCTCAGAGATGAGATATTTTCCTGCATTAAAATGTATCCTATATGTTGACCCGGATAACCAGCTATGATCAAACCAAATTTCATCAAAATCTGTCCTGTGTGCAGTTATATGATGTAATTATAGACACGACACTTTACGGTAAATACAATACTACAGCTTACATTGCAGTGATTAGAAGAGATATCTTAATATATGTATATAATTCTTCTGTGCATGTGTTAGTCACCTAAGTCCTCCTAAGCGGCAGGGACGATTTTAATGATATTTTTTGTGTATGTTCGAGTGGGCCCTGCAAGGTTGAATTCACAAATGGATTCGTTAGGTGGCGCTACAGTCGGTGTGTCACAAAATTTTCATAAAAGACTCCATTTTACGAGCATTAAATAAATTTAAATTGTTGATTAAATAAAATAAAAATCGATGTATGTATGTATGTTTCCTATGGACTCCAAAACTTGTAATTAAGTTATTATTTAACATACCATACAATAATTTACTTAACTAATACGTGACATAAACTTTGTTCATTTCCATTTTAAACTACTTAAAATAAATTGTCTTTTTACTTTTTAGAGGTTCTATCTATCTATCTATTCAGCACTTTTTAATGTCCTACTGCTGGGCACGGGCCTCCCTTTAATACGAGGGGGATCAGGCCATAGTCCACCACGCTGGCCAAGTGCGGGTTGGCGGACTTCACATATCTTTCGAAAACATTTTAGGTTCATCTCAGACATGCAAGTTTCCTTACGATGTTTTCCTTCATCGTAAGGCAAGTGGTAATCATGTTAGAAATGATTCACACATGAAAATATCAGAGGTGCGAGACCCGAGATTTGAACTTGCTTCACTTGGCTTCCCAAGCGAGCGCGTTACCATTGGGTTACCACTGCCTTAGAGGTTAACTTGAGAGGTTATAATTCAATAAATAATTTCAAATTGGTTACGTTTATTGTTGCAGGATTGCTACAGAAGACTGTTTATATTTAGGAGCTTAGATAAAACTATGATGAATTGATCAAGATATAACTAACTGTATGTATAGTATTAACTCGTCAATGTCAGAGCTATAAGTCAACGGCATTTCGCGTGTTTCTTATTATATAATTATTGACTAATTATCAATCTAACCGTTATAAAATATGTTGTTGGTAATTATGTTGCTAGTTTTGCTGCTATTTTAATATATACCTTTACATTGAAAAACGTAGTAAGTGACATTAAAAGAAGAACTTAATTTGATTAAAGTCAAAATCAGCAGAATGTTGCAGAAATCTTATAATATTAAATGAGCCAATTCTTCATATTCTTCTATTATTCTATACTTCATATATATATATATATATATATATATATATATATATATATATATATCTAACAATTTGGATCAAATTTTGTATTTAAATAAGATTATACTTTTTAAGTTTATCTTCTTTTCTGAAAGTCTTTTCTGAAAAAACGTTTTTATATTTGCGCTGAAAAAACATCGAGCGAAGCTCAGTAGCCCTAAAAGTAATCTCTTCCTGGGAAATTTGATGTGAAAGAGTAAGTTCTTATAAATTTGGTAGGCGGTGTGCCTACTCGAACATTTTTATAGACAATAGGTACACATAAATAAATTGTAAATTGAATTTCATTGATATACAAGGTAAGCTCGACTTTCAATTTGACCGATAATAATTATGTCATAAGTGATCATGGAGAGAGATCATAGAGAGTCGAATCTGTACATAAAATATTTTTTGGAAATTCTTATTATAATAGTTATTATTATCGATACAGAGGCCGCATCTATAGTTTTAAAGATTCTCGTCTGTCTGTCTGGGAACCCATCATGAGAAAACCACTGGACAGATTTTGATGAAATAGTGTGGTGATAGAAAGATTATAGAAGAAAATCTACATGAAACGTTAAAACGGAACCTCACCTAACGTTAAGGGTGAGTCGCTAGTTATTACACACATAAGTAAAAAAAACGGAGGAAGCCACGGAAAAATCAAATCCCTAAAGAAATTAGAAACATGAATTGGATACTAAGGTTGTTAATAATAACAAAAAAATAAAAACCGACTTCAAAAAAAAGCACTAAAAAGTAAAAAATAACTGATTGGTAGTTTTCATTTACTATACATACCTAATCAAATATTTTCGAAGTCGGTGTGCTTAGCTTTGTATGGGCTGGCACCGATTTCGAAAATATTTGATTAGGTATGTATTTAATAGGTAGGCTTTAATTATTTAGCCAAAGCACACCGACTTCGAAAATATTTGATTAGGTATGTATAGTAAATGAAAACTACCAATCAGTTATTTTTTACTTTTTAGTGCTTTTTTTTGAAGTCGGTTTTTATTTTTTTGTTAAAAAGTTTTTATTTTTCCCTTTTTAGTGTAGACAGTAGTAGCAAAGTAAGGATTCTAATGTGTTAGGCTTGTCAAATCAAACAAAATAAGCCCAAACTCAAAGTATCTACTATTAGCCGTTGAAGAGTTCCACCTATCCACCTTCTGGCCTTGCCATCAGATCAGGTCAACAACACCGAACCACTGTACTATCAACGGAAATAGAAATACTTGCAAAGTTTCAAGTCAATATGACAAGTATAAGTAGGTTAAATTCATCATTAGTTGTTTTTCCACCCTTAGGGGTGGTATTTTTTTTTGAAATTTAAATGGGACCAATCTGGAAGTATACCCTTTCAAACAAAACAAAAATTGTCCAAATCGGTTAATAAATGACGGAGTTCTGAGGTAACAAACATAAAAAAAAAAAAACATACAGTCGAATTGAGAACCTCCTCCTTTTTGAAGTCGGTTGAAAAGTAAGCATTTATTAGAAAGGATTTTTTTAACTTTGATATACATATATATTATATTTTTTTATTTCTTTGTATGAGCATGCAAATTTATTAAGCTTATTTACTGCGAGAGCTTAAGACACAATCTAACATCACGTTACGACTGGTAGAAATGAAGTATACATAATTATTATTAAACGTATTTACGTGGTAAATTACGTGGGCGAAGTCACTGGAAATGCTAGTACACTATATTATCCATGTATGGATGTAAGCAAAGATAAAGCAAAAGCTATTATTATAAGATAAATAAATCCCCTACGGAAAAACGTATTTCCCATACTAAATAAAGTAACTTGTTGTAAAACATGCTAATCAAATTGTTGCGATCAAGAAGTAATCGAAACTGTACCTAACCTAAATTTTGTAATCTGTACTAATATATAACACTGATAAGTTTGTTTGTTTATTTAATTATTTTTAAATTTTAAACGCACTAATCTCTGGATCTACTGGTCCGATTTGAAAAAATCTTTTTACGTTTTAAATCTCATATATTAAGGATAAGTTAAAGCGAAGTAATTCTACAAATTTAAAAGATGCAAGCGAAACAATGAATCAACGCTAGTGTTAAGATATATTGAATGGGGTGCTTTGCTAGTCCAAACGATAATGCCATACAAACGTTAGCGCCCGCTTATATAGAGGTATAGCGGTAATGGCAATGAAAGTGACTGAAGTACACCTACAGGAGGTATATTTCTAAAATAAAGTTAATTATTAAGAGCATGTTTAAGTATATTACACTGATCTTGAAATAAATAATTTTGA